AGAAGAAGAAGAAGAGGAGGAGGAGACGGAGGAGGAGGAGGAGGAGGAGGAGGACGAGGAGGAGGAGGAGGAGGACACATGTCCTCTGAATGAATTATGTCAGACTATATAGATTCTCATAATTCTTCATTCTTTTTCCAGCAAGAACTGGCTACCGCATTCAAAGACACAGAGACCCCCAGGTTCTTTGGTTACTATGAGGCGTTGTTGAAGGAGAATGGTACTGGATATTTTGTTGGCAGTAAGGTAAGCTGTGTTCAAAGACTTCTCCTGAAAGGATGGCCAGTGGGGAGGGAGGGAGTGAGGGAGGGAGAGATGGAGAGAGGGAGAGAGAGAGAGAGAGAGAGAGAGAGAGAGAGAGAGAAAGAGAAAGAGAGAGAGATATCGACGTGGGAATAATGTTTTTGCGTCACCTCGAGCTTATCATTTTCATCACCATTAATTATTATCTTTATTATTTTTAGCATCATCATAATTAATTACTATCCTTATTGAATATTCTTATTGTGTGCCCCCCACAGTTGAGCCTGGCAGACATCGCTGTGTATGATTTGTTCACCGGCATGATGGCGCCTCGCCTGGGATCTGTGGACAGCTTCCCGCTCCTCAAGGCTCTCGTCGACAAAGTCGGCGCTGACCAGAAGATCAAAGCTTACATGGCGTCCAGACCAGACACACCTTTTTAAGTTGTCACATTCAATACTACTCTGCATTTCTAAAACAAGACAAAGCAAAACAAAACACAACAAAAAATTTAAAAAAATAAAAAAAATTAAATGACACCAGATTAACCATCAAAAGTTGATGTAAGTAAGTGAAATTATAAATAACTTTACAGTGTTTAAAAAGAACGCTACATCCATACAGTGCCATGCTGATCGACTGCCAATAACTTTCGGATACCTGCAGACTTCATAACAGTACAAAACATGGTGGCACCAGATTAATCATCGAAAGTTGATGTAATTAAAGTGAAATTATAAATAACCTTACAGTGTTTGAAAAGGACGCTGCATCCATACAGTGCCATGCTGATCAACTGCCAATAACGTTCGGATACCTGCAGACTTCCAAACAGTACAACAGATTGTAGCACCAGATTAATCATCCAAAGTTGATGTAAAGAAAATTAAATGAGTAACGGTACCGAGTTTAAAAACGACTTTACACGATCCATGAAATGCCAAGCTGATAAACAGCCAATAACTCTCGGACACCAGCAGATTTCAATAGGACACAAACAGAAAAATGAAAGACTTCGTTCGGTGTTACTGTTGTTCCATCAAAAGTCCCATAATATGGTAATAAACCTTGCTAGTCCTGGGTGGTAGCCACATTTCGCCCCAGATTAACACTATACATCGTAACATGGGGTTATTACTGGTTGTTTTAAAAATTTGTGCATGAGGGCTAAAATATGGGAGTGCGTATGAGTGCGCGTGAGATAATGATATTATAATATGTTCAATTTTAGTATGTGGATTCGCTCCCTTATTTTTTTCTTTTTTTTCTGCGTTTAGAACAGATTTTCAGAAACTCGTTTTCTCTGATCAAGGCCATCGTTTCTCGTGAAATTGGAACAAATGCTATAAACGATCAGATTAAATGTGACAAAGAACAATGCCTACGTTCGAGTGTAAGTGTAACGTTTATTGCTCACTTTTTTCATTGTACAACATCCAACAAAATGGTATGTACCCGCGTGTATGTCAAAATGATATTCAAATAAATGTGAATGGTTCTTAATAAATTATTCCATATAAATACCATCTTGTTTTATGTTTTACTTTGCTGCCCTTCAACTTGTATGAGTGTTAAGTATAGTGTCGCTTTACTTACTGTACTCTATGGCGTCGGTGGCCTAGTGGTTAGGCTCTCGGACTCGCAACCGTAAGGTCGTGGGTTCGAATCCCGTCAAGGGCCCGACGTTA